TATATTAATACAAATTAAAAATATAAATAATATGTACATATATAATATGCTTGCAATTGATATCACAAAATAATATATGTAATATCTACATAGATATTATATTATTAAATATATAATTTAAAATTAATAATATACTATAAAAGTTATTTAAGTTGTATATATTACAAACAAATACATTAGAACAAGTAGTCATTGTTATATTTAATAAAACTCTTTGCTCTTCCATTAAGAGATTCAATTTTCATTATTATTTTTATGGTTTATGGTTTCTTAAAAAAAAAGGTGTGGTTGAACCGGTTTGACCCACCGGTTCACCGGTTAAACCAAAAAATTGACCGATTTTATCCGGTTTGAAACGGGTCAACTGCATAACTGATATAACTTAAGATTCGGACCGGCTGGACCACCGATTCTCGGTCCAACCGGCTGGTTCGATCCGATTTTTAAAACACTGCAAGAGAGTCTCCAAAGAGTACACCAAAATAATGATTATAATCAATCAAAGTAAAATCAATCACAATTACTTACAATTAAAAAAATAAGATGAATAGTCTAAAAATAAAGTTGTTACTTTCTCTCACTCGAGACTTCCTTTTAATGATTTAGGCCATACATTGTGGTTCGATCGGGTTTAACCACTTAAACTGCTCACATATGTTATAAGAGATATTCATAATTAACATGAGTGACCATGCATTAGTTGTATATTGCTATCGTGTTACTTATGATGTGAGATAAAGATGGTATGTTACTCTAAGTTGTGAATTGTATGAGTATGATGGTTGATGAGTTGTGTGTCATTTTCTATTAAGTTGATTATGTTATAATTGTTGAATTTTGTTCAGTTTCGTATTTATGTTGATTCTTTTTACAAGTTTACCCTTCTTTTAATTGTAATTGGAATTATAATAATCATACTTGGTATGACAAAATTTCTAACTCATAATATATTATATATAATATATATAATAAATAATGACATGTGATCAATATATATTACAACTATAACACACCGAATTTTTCTACTAATACTACGAATAATTATTATTTATTTTTATATTTATGAAGATTATTTCCTTATAATTATTTTGATTAATTAAATGAGTTTGATTGAATTTTTTAAAGGTTTTATATATATATATATATATATAGGGTTTGGTAATGTAACCCATATTATGTTATATTGAACTCAAAACTACTAACCCTAATTATAATTTGAAATTAAAATTTATTAAATTATATATTTAGTCAACATTAATTTTTAATCATATTATTGAAGCAAAGTATTTAATGATTTTTTCAATGTCTAATCCCTATCGGAGAAATTTGGTTAGCTACCTTTAATAAGATTTTTCTCTCAATTACGTTTTTTCCATTTACAAAACTTAAATATTAAACCTTACTTTGGAAAATTGAGTCCAGGTTTTAACCAAGAACTTGTTCATAATCAAACTTAAAATTAAATTGACATAAATAATAATAAAATTAATACAATTAGAATTAATAATTATAAACATATTTACAAATTTATTAGTTAACACATGTCAAATCACTAGTTTTCAAAGTTTGAAATACACATATTATTCACTTACAAAGAGATTTGAACATTCTACCTCAATTTATAATGTTTTGTAGATTTTTATTTATTTATTTATCATCAAAGAGTTTTTTTTTTTCATCCATCACAATAACTAATCTCTCTCATCAACACCAAAAAAAAAAATATCTCTCGATAGTTTGTTAGATATCAAATAAGTAAACTTCTTTTCCAATATTTAAATAATTATAAATCATAATTATTTTTTACCTAATTTAATCATTAATAGTATAATTAGTTAAATAAGTGATTAATCACACAAACAAATGCGTCATTACAATCAACCATTTTTAAGTATTTACATTCAAAATTTGAATTTATATATTTTTAAATAAATTTTAATAAAAATAATATAATTTGGCACATTTAATTATTTTTATTACAATGTGATTATTTCTATTATCGCAATTATAATCTTTAATACGAGAGAATTATATTCTATAAATTAATTTAATATTAATAATTTATAATTTGAATACATGTGCCGAATACAAGTGATCATGATATTTGCCATTCTTAATTTTCAAAATATGAATAATAATGAAAAGACTTAATGCCTTTACTTTATCGTTTTAATAAAATTTAAATCCTAATATAAGATAAATAGATTTAAACATTTGAAACTCGTGACACATGTTTTAAAATAGAAGAATTGTTTAGTTGTCTTTTGGAAAACACTTAAAAACGTTTGATAGATATTATCGGTGTAGTGCTATACAGCGCTGCCACTGGACAAAAGTGGAGGGCCTTCCTTCCTTTTCACTACAAAACAAATGACAAAATAGTGAAGCCCTCCCTTGTCATTTTTTTTTTAGGTTCGTTGAAGTATCCACCGCTGACAGTAGTGATTAATCTCCTCACTACGTTGGAGACACACCTTAAAAGGTGGGATAGCTGGTCCCAAGATTTAACGCGGCTGCATACACAAGGCAGGATTCGAACATCTGACCTCCCTTATCATTTAATACAGTAAAAATATTATGTTTCTTTTATTTTACTTATTTAAAACGTACAAATCTTTAATTTTTATGTAACATTTAAAAATATAGCGATAAGCATTTATAATTAATCAAACAATTTTTATGATTACTAAGAATCATGTCTCCTTGAATTTGATTCTCTAAATGTTCCTAAACATAATATCGGCGAGAATTATTATATTCATAAATGTTATAATAAATGATGTCTGTATATTTTTATAAAATTTAAAAATTATTTAACACTTCATTTATAATTGAATTTAATGAAATATAAGATAAATTTTAAGCCTAGTAATTTTTTCAAATTTTATGTATTTATTAAAAACTTTTAATTTAATGTTTGAATTATTAAAATATAATTACTGATATAAATACTGAGTTATTCAATGCAATAAATGAATACAATGTGTGTAAAAGTTATTAAAAGTGTTTAATAATATTAATTGACAAGTTAGTTAATTAATGTAAAATAAAACATTTATTTATTTAATGATGAGAATATGATGTATATAAAATGATTTTTAAATAAAAAAAAGCAAAAAAAATTTCAACTTAATTATTGAAGATGAAATATGAAAGAGAATAGAAAATTAAAAAATTATAAATTATAAATTGTTTTTATTAATTTATAAAAATAAATTAACTCATAAAATAAACTTTTTTTATTAAATAAACATTTATTTTGTCAAAACTTGCTTATAAGTCGTTAAAAAAGTGTATAAATTTTTTAAATGTTTTTTCAAACACATTTTTTTGATTTTATCTTGTAATCCATATTTACTTTGGAGTGTAAAATTAATTAAGTATAACTAAAATCCTCAAAGATCTACCAAGATTTTAGTCTCAATATGATTGAGTGTATGAGGAAATATTCAAACCCTTATCACACATTGTCTTAAAAATAATTAAAACAAAAACATTGATCGTATGTCTCTTCCTTTTTGCGTACATCAACGATATTTCCAATATGACTGTGTTTGAGTAAATACTCATTTTTTTTATAGAATTAATTACCTATACCTTATTAATGTAAAAACTAATCAGATATTTTAATAGTGTCACGTTAATTGCTTATTTAATGAAATAAAAATAAAATAAAATATTTTAAAAGATCTGATTGATTGATAGTGTAAAAAAACTTTACACTGATAGTGTATTAGTGATTAATTTTTTTTTTATAATTATATTATTTGTATAAAACATTATTGAAGAATAATTTTTGTTTGAAAATCTCGTAGGTCATTTTTAATGAGATAATCTCTTTCAACCACATTTTTTCATATACAATACTCAAATTTAAAACCTTATTAAAGGGGATCAATTCCAACATCACTGAGACCAACAACTTGTTGATGAGTAAATATTTATGAATTTGATTTTAAAATTATTCAATCTATAAATTTGATTTTCACTAAGAATAAGATAAAAGAAAAATAAAATTGATATTTCACACATGTATGCAAAAAAAGAAAGTAATTTTATTATAAAAATATTATTTGAATAATATTAGTTAAAATTAATTATAATTGATTAATTACTTAAATGGTATAAATTTGCTACTGTTTTATAGAAAAAAAAGTCAAATATGTTAAAAAAAATTCAATAGTTATTAAAAGAGAATAATAAATGTATTCATGGCAAAAATAATAATAATATTATTATTTATCTAAACTATTATTCTAATTAGAATATAATAATGGTATAATTTTTTTTCTTCATATTTTTATATAATTATAAATAAACAGAAGGAATAAAATTATTTATTTCTATAAAAAATATCTAAAAAAGCATACTTAAAATCAATTTGTAATTAATCGTTTTTAAATAAAAGTTAGTCGCGACTCATTCAAATTAAACTTGTAAGATCCTATGAAAGTCTTCCAATGTGAGTTTTATTGCAAAAATTAGTCGCATAAGAATAATTAGAGTATGCAAATAAAATTAGTTTCTAACCAAATATAGTGTAGATAGAAAAAAAAAAAAAAAGTGGATTTGATTTTTAGGGTCAGCAAAACTGAAACATCATATATCAACTATCGTAATAAAAACAAGTTTGTCTTTTGTCAACTGAGCTATATGCTAATCTACATGTAAAAATGTGTGCGTGGCCTATTTTGTTTAGAATAAAGTTATATCTTCCGAAAAAATTGTGCGAATCATCTTCCAAAACTTAAAATATTAATATTTTTTTAATAAATTTGTTATAAAATAATTATTTAATTTAATAATTTATAATTTAAATTATTATTTTATATATTCGGACAGATTTTCGGAGAAACTTTCGGAGGATCTATCATTTTTCTTTTGTTTAATTATAATTTTATGTTGCGATAAAATATTCAATAAATCAAGTTCTTGAAATTAATTCTCATTTTAGTCCTGGTAGAATTTTATTAAATAAAAAGCGAAAGTTATGGAATTTATATTTTCTCAATAAAATTTGGTTAATAGAAAAAAAATGGTTTAAAAGAGTATTATGAATCTAAATTGATTTAATGAGTTTAATCCAGATCTTTATATTTGACTCTAGATGAGTTGTCTGACTTATTATAATTAATGTTTAATATTATATAAGTTGAATAATATTTTTATTTGGGACGTATTTTTGATTTATAAGTAAACTTAATATATGGCATGAATAATATGTTGTAAAAAAGTAAAAAAGATGTATAGAATGGGTGTAGTGGCGTAGAACTTAAAGTCTCTGGGACATATTATAAAAAATGTAATATAACACTAATAACCTTAAAATAAATTATATATATAATTAAAAACATTATATAAATATAACTAAATTATACAGAAGATGATACCATGTATAATAAAATATAATAACACATTAATTCTTAATTTTTTATACGATTTTTTAGGAAATAATTACTATGTTAACAATATTTTTAAAACATTAAAAAATATAAATAAACTCATATACAAAAATTTGAATATAATACTAACAAAAATAAAACTACATTATTTTAACAATTAAATTTATTTACCATTTTTTAGCAAATATAACTTTATGAAGTAAATTATTTTAACATTCAAATTTAAATTCAATTTTATATCCAATTTTTTTATGATTAATTTTAATTAATTTAATTTAACTGCCACACATTATATAAATTATTTTTACAAAAAGACTTACGATTTGTAAACAAATATAATTTTAGAACACTAACAACCCTAAAATAAAATATAATTATAACTAAAATGCAAAGAATAAAATTATAAAATTTAAAAACTAAATTAAATTACTTATTAAATTAATTAAATAAAATGATATAGTCCATAGAAACTTTAAAATAATTGCAGAAAATAAAATATAAAAAGCACGTCAATAAAAATTACCTGAAAATATTACAATAACACAACAATAACCTGAAATAATATAAATATAAAAACGTTATAAATAAAATAAACTAAATAATAACAATTATAAAAAAATTAAATTCAACTGACATAAATTATAAAATTAATTTTCTTAAATTTATTTACGATTTTTTTAGGATATATAACTTTATCAACTAAATTATTTTAACAATTAAATTTATATCCAATTCTATATCCTATTTTTTAATGATTAATTTTAAATAATTAAACTTAACTGGGACAGATTACATTTAAATATTACCATTTTAAAGCAAATATAATTTTATAATTCAAAAATAATAGCAGTTATCATTTAAATATTAAAATAAACAAAATTTTTTAAAATTTAAAATTTTTAAATAAACTGATATAAAACATTCGAATATAACACTAACAATCCTAAAATAAAATATAAATATAACTAAATTGCACAAAAAAAAATTTAAAAACTTAGAAATTAAATTAAATTAAATTACTTATTAAATTCATTAAATAAAATGATATATCCCATAGCGACTTTAAAATAATTGCAAAAAATAAAAAATTAAAATTACATAAAAAAAGATTACCTGCAGATAATAGAATAACACAGCAATAACCTGTAATATTATAAATATATAAACGTTATAAACTAAATAAACTAAATAATAACAATTATACAAAAATTAAAAACTGAAAAACTAAAAACTGGAAACGAAGAAAAATTACCTGAAGATGATTTGTGGGAGGGGGGACCATTCGTTGGGTAAATGGGTATATATAGGGTATTTTTTTTTTTTTACAGTTAGAATGACACGCGACGCTATCCTATTGGCTGCATCTGCGGTAACATTTATTTCACCTGAAAAATAATATATCCCATAACAACATTGGTTTTTTTAATTTACAGTTACAATAACACGTGGCGCCATCCTATTCGCTGTTGCATCTACGACATTGGTTTTTTTCCCAGGAAATAATATACCTCACAGCGACATTCATTTTTTTCTATTTTTAATTTATTTAATTTAATCCTTTTGTTTTTTAACAATTTTTTCTTCGTAATTATTTTTTTTAAAAATCTTTTATTTTTATTCTGCGTTATTTAAATATTTTTTGAACTTAAATATATTAATATATTTTATTGTACAAAATTTGCTTTTTTTTTTTTTAGAATACTAAAGTCGTTATGGACTGTAACGATTTTTAGGTGCTATAAGTCATAGCGACATAACTTTTTTCTTTATTTTTTTTCTAATTTATTTACTTCACTTTTATTTTACAAATTTTTCTTGCAAATTTTTTTTTTCAATTTTATGATTTTTGTTCTGCGTTATTCTAATATTTTTTTAAAACTTTAGATTTTTTTTTGTTTATATTTTATATTTTTTAAAATTTGTTTTTTTTAGGATAATAGTGTCGCTATGGCCTGTTGCGACCTTAAGCGCTATAGGCCATAGCGACATAAATTTTTTTTTAATTTTATTTATTCCATATTATTTTACAATTTTTTCTTGCAAATAATTTTTATTTGATTCTGCGTTATTTTTAACATTTTTTTACCTTCACTTAGTTTATTTATTAATTTATATTTTATATTTAATTTTTTTTAAATATTAGAGTCGCTATGGCTTGTAGCGACGTTGTGGCACTACAGGCCATAGCGACTTGGTTTTTCTTTATTTTTTAAATGATATTTTCTATTTATATAAATAATTTCTGTTAATAAAATTATATATTGTTTTTAAAATTATATTTTTACTATACACTAAGTTTATAATTAATTACATTTGTTCAAAAATGTTATATACAAAAAATTTGTAAATTTTATTTTAAAAAAAAATTATTTACTTGGTGGAACTGTAGCTTATAGCGACTTTATTGGAGCCGTATTGTGTCGCTATAAGCTATAGCGACTTCGTTGGGGACGCTACCAGCTATAGCGACTTTTACAATATAGCATTCATAGCTTCTGCAAATTTTAAAAAAGGACACGTGGCACTAGTGTCGCTAGGGGTGGGTAGATGGACCCGGGTCCGCGGACCGCTCCGTAAGCCCGCGAATTTTGCGGATAACGGGCTCGTTTTTTTCAAATCCGTATGATTATGTCTAATTTTTGAGTCCGGCCCGTTAAGTTCGCGGATTTGGCAAATTTAATTCGCGGGCTCGCGGGCTAGTCCGCGGACTTCACATTTAATATTTTTAAATATTATGATTTTAATATTAAGTTGTGTATTTAATTTTTTAAAATTATTATGACATTAAAATTATGTTTAGTTGGTATATATTTATCATTTGAATTATTTTTATGACATTTTGATGCTTTTATTATTGAAAGTTTAATACTATTATTTAAGTATTTGTAATTATTTTTATTTTAATATTTTAATATTTAGTATTTTAAACCATTTTAACTATTAATAAATTTTAGTATGATAAAATTTAGCTTATAAATAAAAAATATTTTTTTTCTTCTAATTTTATGTATTTGTATTTTTAAAAAATTTATTTTTTTGAACCATTATTTAGGCTCGCGGACCAGTCCGTTATGCGCGGATTTTGACAGGTCTGATACAGACTTAAAAAATAAGTCCATTTATTTTATGCACCAGACTTATCCGTCCTGTTTAAAACGCGGGTTTTACGGATCGAGCCTTAAACGGGCCGGATCGATCCGTATACCCACCCTTAAGTGTCGCTATGAGTCATAACGACAATGTTGTAAATAATCCAAAATTATAAATAACTTAAAAACAACCCTATTTAGATATATAATTTCGAGAAGTGCCCCCATTTAGGTCAATCAGCCGGCGGGGCCCTTCCTTTAGGAATGGAAGTGATAAATAGCCTTCTCAACTCTGAAGTTGCATGCCATTTGACACCATGTCTGGAGCCTCTCTCCCAAACGCCAGCTTCAGCCTTCCATTTTCAACCATGTCAGCCCAAGCCCGGCCCCCCTTCCCCGCCCAACTCACAAACCCCGCTCCCCATCATCCCCACTGGGCTTCCTTGCAGGCCGACATTGAAGCCCACCTCAAACAAACCATGCCACTCAAACAACCTCACGAGGTTTTCAACCCCATGCACCACCTCGTTTTCTCCGCCCCCCGCACCACCGTCCCCGCTCTGTGCCTCGCCGCGTGCGAGCTCGTCGGCGGCCACCGCCAGGAAGCCATGCCCGCGGCCTCGGCCTTGTTACTCAACCTGGCTAATGCGCATGCCCACGAGCACCTCCTCCTCAGTGACAGGGCCAGGCCCGGTGATGGTTATGGCGCCAACATAGAACTTCTAACCGGAGACGGGATTGTCCCGTTTGGGTTTGAGTTGTTGGCGAGATCCGACGACCCGGCCCATGAGAAGTCGGAGCGGATCCTGCGCGTGATAATTGAGATATCACGTGCGGTGGGGTCGGAGGGGTTGCAAAAAGCGCTGTACATGGAAAATACGTTGGAGGATGAATCGGACGGCGAGGATCCGCGCCACGTGGAAAGCATGAGGGTTGTTGTGGAGAAAAAGGAAGGTGGGATGCACGCGTGCGGGGCTGCGTGTGGGGCGGTGTTGGGAGGTGGGAGTGAGGAGGAAATCGAGAGGTTGAGAAAGTTTGGATATTATGTGGGGATGACACAGGGTATGCTACAGAGGGGACTCCTCCAAGGACTTGAAGACCTCAGAAATCTCGCTTTCAACCAATTGCAATTTTTCAAGGACAGAGGTCTTGATATTCATATCATTTCTACTTTTATTAATTTCTAGTTTTCTAAGGAATCTCTCATCACTTCTACTGGAACTGTTGCAAAAGCATTTCTTCAATAATACGCTCATCTCATTATTCCAATAATTTAATCTTCACTGGTTAGATATGTCAATTGTCTTCATAAAACTGGTTAGGCATTCTTCAATAATGAAGATTTCCGGCGTCCTGTCCCTTTAGCCTTTAGGTGCATAAATGCGTGATTGGTCTATTTTTTATTTTAATATTTCTCTAATTTTTTAACAAATTACGTTCTCCATTTTTATTCTCGTATAAGTGGCAAAAGATTAGATAAATAAAAACTGAAAACTACAAATCTTTTTTTAATAAATTTCATCTAACAGTAAAAAGATTTATTTATAAAAATATTATTTTCCAAATACTCTTTTTTATATAAAAAATACAAACTAATAATTTTAATTATTTCAAAGAGGGTCTTAAGAAAATATCTTATTAACTCTACCAGAGAAAAAAATGTTATTAGCATTTTTCAAAAAAAAATTATGCTAAAGTAATTGAAAGTTTAATTTGATTGTTTCTTTATTAAACTCAAGGAATCTCTTGACCAGTCTTATAAAATAATAAAATTTATTTAAAGAATTAAAAAAATGTTTTTCATATAACAATCGGAATCGAACTCTCAACCACATGATTAAAAAAAAGGTTATCAATCAATCATACTAAATAAAGATTCCTCAATTTTCTTTTGTCTCTATTTTTTCTTTTACTAAAATTTTAAGAATATACATATATATATATATATATATTATTGACAGTTGAAATTTGTGACGTGTAGAAAATATAATAATTATTTTGTTGTCCTAGGTAACACTTAAAATGTTTGATAGCGATAATCACTGTAGTGGTGGACAAAAGAAGAGGGCCTTCGTTTTCGAATACATTGGGTGCAGTCAGAGCCGCCAGGCCCACAGGCCACCTCTCACAGTCACTTATAAATTATAAATAGCCCACCATTCTTGAAATTCCCAATTTCAATAATTTTTCACGCATATTAAGGCTCAAAATACCCGGTCCCCATCCTACTGGGCCTCCTTGCATGCCGACATCAAGGCCCACCTCAAACAAACTATGCAGCCTCTCGAGGTTTTCGAGCCCACGCACCTCCGTGCCAGCTCTATGCCTCGCCCCATGCGACCTCGTCGGCCGCCACCACCCCCAAGCCATGGCCGTGGCTTCCGCCTTGTTACCCACCTCGTTAATACACATGCCCATGAGCACTTTGTTGGAATGCAAACAAAGTCTCACATTATTCAAAAAAGAGGATGAACATGAGTTTATATATACATAATTGTGTTTATTGGTTGAGAGACTTTTTAGCTGATATCCAAAAGCAAAACTATAAGAACTTGGACTCAAAATGAAAAATACCTCACTAACTAACGTGAAGAAATGTGTATATGTGTGGTAATCCCGTGCTCAACACACCTTCCCCTCGTTCACAGCCCAACCTAGGCTCCCACTCATGCATATAAAAATAAAAAATATTAATCCTTATAAAAAATACATATTATGATCTTATATTTTGAAATTAAAATTATATTAATAATAAAAAAAATATTTTAAAAAAGCCATCAATCATGATACTATCAATTAATATCAAAATTATTGTATAAAAATATTAATAAATAATATAAATTGACACTATGATAATTCACAATTAATATATACAAATTTAATTAATATATAAGTATATAATTATATAAATTAATATTTAAGAACTTAAAAAAATAAAAAATACATTCAATAGGTCAACTTGTAAGTCAATATAATTCATCAACGTATGAGGCAGATTGTAACTTATAAATAGATTGTGTAAAATTTCTTTTATAACTAAAATAGATTAAATTTTCTTGATTCAACCCAATTCAAATAATCTGTGATGTAACATATTAACGGTCACTTTGATGGCTATAAGAATTACGGCAATCATACAAATTTTTAAGGACAAAAATGTTCATGAAATTTATAATTTTATTAATTTTTAGTTTTATGAGATTTGGAATCTCAGTGGATTATTCACGGGGCTATCTGGCTATCCATCTTCATATGTATAGTATTTGTTATAAAAGAGAGAAAAGTAGAGAGAACAAACAAAATAATAAGAGATAGAGAAAATAATCTGATTGATGTATTATTTTGGCAGTGGACTAACCTATTTATAAGTACATGTGGTAAAGGAACAATTATACAATAAATGAAATAATACATAACAGAAATATAAATGGTAATGATTGATAATGAATATTGACATCCACTAATTAAGTCACTAATTATTATTCATAACACTCTCCTTGGATGTCCAATATTTAGAATGTGTCTCGTTAAAACCTTACTAGGAAAAATCCAGTGGGATAAAAACCTAGTAAAGGAAAAATAGTACATCATTTATAAATATTTATTTCTCCCCCTCATGCATACAATCTTTAAGACAACAGAGATTTGCTAGGTTGTCACTTGAGCGGACTTTGTAAAGAGACTTGTTAGGTTGTCACTTGAGCGGACTTGTTGAACATTTATATCACCATTCCTTTGAAGATCACGAGTAAAAAAGAATTTCGGTAGAATATGCTTTGTTATATCTCCATTTATGTATCCATCTTTCAATTGTGCAATACATGCAACATTATCTTCATATATAACTATCGATGTCATTTTTCCAGAAGATAAACCACAAGTTTCCCGTATGTGTTGAATCACAGATTTTAGCCAAACACATTCACGACTTGCCTCATGTAATGCTAAAATTTCAGCATGATTAGATGAAGTGACTGATATGGTTTGTTTTACATATCGCCATGAAATGTCTGTACCACCACTTGTGAACAAATATCCTGTTTGTGATTTACTATTATGAGGATCTGACAAATAATCTGCGTCTGCATAACCATTTAGTTCTAATTTGGGAACATTTTAATATAATAACCTCATATCCATTGTACCTCTAAGATAACGAAGGATTTGTTTAAATCCATTCCAATGTCTTCGTGTAGGTGAAGAACTATATCTTGCTAACAAATTAACAACAAATGTTATATCAGGTCGTGTATAATTAGCAAGGTACATTAGTGCTCCTATAACACTAAGATATGGTACTTCGGGACCAAGTATTTCTTCACCCTTTTCTTGGGGTCTAAATGGATCTTACAACCATGGGAGTGCACAATGGATGTGATTTGTCCATATAAAATCTTTTAACCACCTTTGTTATATAACCTTCTTGATGCACAAGAATTCCATATTCAACTTGCAGTCCAAGACAAAACTTTATCCTTCTTAGATCCTTCATTTCAAATTTTTTCTTCAAGCAATCTATTGCCTTTGAAAGCTCTTCAGGAGTTCCAATTGACATTATTTTTTTTGTTCTTTTTTCATTGTCACTATTGTAAAATTAATGACTTAATAATTATTTTATCTTTGATAATTAATGTATGTTTACTGAACAATGTGTTTATTAATTTTTCAATGTACTGCTTTTTTTTTTTTTCCCCTCCACATCTATTCAAAGAGGCAGTAAATGGCAAGTTGCTCAAGATTTTCATGTGGAAATACTTTGTTGTTCAAGTCATAGCTCTAATTTATTTCCCCTTCTTTTTAAGGATTCAAATAACATAGATCAAATTATGTATTAAATTTTATATTTGACATTTCTCTCCTGTAATTATATTTACTTCAGGAATCATGATAATCAATTCTGGTTACTGCAGGACAATGTAGCCTATGTGTTTTTCTGCTTCATTGTCAAAAAATTATCGAATTAGTTGGTATATTCCTTTCGATATTTACTTCTGTAACTATTCAAAATTTGTGATACTTTATTCCTGCACTTCATTAGTATATCTATAATTAAGATATTTCTTTAATGCTTTTTGTTTCCATTTGATAGTTGTCATAAACGCGGATTTAGGCTGTTAATTTGTATGTATGGCACTCTTTTTAATTAGTTTAGCTCAATTGATATTACTTCTTCCATTTTTTTTACATTTAAGATTTATGCACAAGAATTAAAAAAATGATTGATATTTTAATTTTTTAAAATATTTATTATTTATTTTCTTGTTATACCTTTTAAGTGGTTGAAAAATAAATAGATACATTGAAAATAAAAAATACATTATTCAGTAAACACACATTAATTATTAAATATAAAAATAAAAAAATTAATTAGTCATTGATTTTATTAAAGTGACAATGAAAAAAGAAAAAAAAAATAATGTCAAAACGACTATGAAATAAAAAATGAGGGGAGTATTTATTTATCTTTTGTTGATAAGAATATTTAATACTCTTTCCATTTTTTATTCATAGTCATTTTGACATTATTTTTTTTGTTCTTTTTTCATTGTCACTATTGTAAAATTAATGACTTAATAATTATTTTATCTTTGATAATTAATGTATGTTTACTGAACAATGTGTTTATTAATTTTTTAATGTACTTATTTATTCTCCAATCACCTAAAGGGTATAACAGGAAAATAAGTAATAAATACTTTGAAATACTAAAATATCAATCATTTTCTTAATTCTTGTGCATAACCTTAAACGTCAAACAAAAAAACGGAAGGAGTATGTCTTTTGATGGTCTGACTTTGATTTAAAATCCTGAGGTAATGTACAGAAGTTGAATAATTTTTTAATATTTTTTCATGTTTCTGTGTGTTTTATTTAGGTTGGGGTGTAAGAAATTAATGTCTCATGTGTGTGGAAAGGATATGACTTTTAGAAATATATTATTCAGTTATTTTGAATGAAAGGATATGACTTATATTATTCAATAATTTTGAATGAAAGTATATGACTTTTGGAAATATATTATTCAATTATTTTGAATGAAAGGATATGACTTTTAAAAATGAGTTATTATATTTTAATGAAGGGATATGTTGTTTGATGGAAACAATATATATAATGGAAGAACATGAATATGAAAGTTTGTCTCTTAAAATTAGTACAAAGAAAAGAATTTGAGAAAGAGATAAAAAAAGATTCTTCTTACAAATTCTATAAAGATTCAAAATCTTCAATCTCATCATGGATCAAGGTTAATATTTCTATCTAATCTTATATGTGAAAACTATGAATTCTAAG